AAAAGGGTCCAACTTTGAAAACGACTCGTTTTTTGAAGTTTTTTGAGGTTTTTCTGAGGAAATCGATGGAAGAACGAATTGAAAAAAATTGGTATATTTTTACATGGAAAGTGTGTTCGAAGACGCACATTTTGTAAAAAAAAACCCAAATCGTTTGATTTTTACGGAAGTTACAGGCATTTGAAGATAAAACTTGCAAAAAAACATGGCTGCCGACAGGATGCCTCAAAAAATCTGAAAAAATTTGAGAAGTCACTNGATAATTGTAATTTCCACTTTTTTCAACTCATTCTGAATCTCAATTAAAACCACTCTTTGAAGAAGTTCAGAATTTTTTCTATTTTGTTTTCTATCATTTTATGATAATTCTTGGAAATTTCTTCATGATGTACCATTCAAGTGACAATTTTGGATTACGAAAGATAAAAAAAATCCAGCATGACTAGACATTGATTGTGTCAAGAGCCTGAGGAAGGCAAAATTATATTGGCGAAACGTCGCTTCTTTTGACAATTTAATCAACGCTGTTGTTATTTCTCCAAAATCCTCTGACTCCTTTACTGAATTCATTAATATGGAGATGAATGTGAACATCAATTTCACAAAAGCTTTCACGACGACAGTGTCCCCAGATATATGCAGGATTCCGAGCCATATCACGAGCCAGTACCTGAGCCAGCCCCCGAGGAGCCGCAGCCCATCGACGACAAGTCATCAGCGAAGACCCTCTTAGATCAGGACTGGTTCTCAGGTTCCGAGGATTCCGAGGCGGCGAGTGGTAACACCGAGCCCCCCACCAACGTGCCGAGTCCCTCGGACCATCGCTCCCAAATAAGCCTGAATCCCCCGGTGAAACCCGTCACCAAGAAGGGAAGTATCTTCAAGAGCAGATCAACAGGTGCGACAAATGGAAACAAACGTCGAGCCCTGTACAAGCACAAATGGTGTGACAATGATAAAGAGTCAATTACCCCAGAGGCAGTGGCAGTGACAGCAGTCCCAAATGCTGCGTCAGGCTCAGGAGTCTCAGGCCAGGTGACGTTCGACGAAGAGCTCGATGAGGCTGACAAGCTCACCAGAGTCGTCACTTACCCAGAGACAGACGATATGGACTTCAACGAAGACGCCGAGGCCATCACGAGCATTCGTTGTGGCAAAAGAGTTAAAGGTTTTTATACTGTTGTTAAGAATGTTAAGAAAGCACATCAGATACAGGAGAGCGGTGAATTTCAAGAGTTTAATGACGACGTTGAGTATATTCTGGACACACTGAGGGAGAACAACCCCAACGCCACGAGGTGTTTGTCGGCGATAAGATTGGCGAGTAAGTGCATGGCCCCAGCCTTCAGAATGCACGTGAGGGCACACGGTACTGTGGCAAAGTTCTTCAAGGCCCTGCACGACGCCACGAAGGACCAGAGCCTGGGGTTGTGCACAGCAACAGTGATGTTTGTCCTGAGCCAGGACAGACTGGCGATGGATCTCGACAGGGACTGCCTGGAGCTGATGCTGAGTCTCCTGGAGTCCGATGCCAGTCACAAGGACGCCCTCGACGATTGTGGCCTCAGTCGGGCTGAATTACTCAAGAATAAGGAGAAGGTCAGGCAACTTTGTGCTGACATTCAGGCGCAGGGGCACGCGAAACACCTCAATCTGGATAATATCACGGTGGGACAACTGGCTATGGAGACGCTCCTCAGTCTCACATCGAAAAGAGCTGGGGAGTGGTTCAAGGAGGAGCTCAGGGAGCTCGGGGGACTCGAGCATATCGTCAAGACCATCAAGGAGTGCCATCGGAATATTGTGTCCAGCGATGTCACCAGGGCTGGCTGGGACGAGCCTGTGCTCGATAAATTGAGAAAGGTCGACAGGTGTCTCAGGGTTTTGGAGAATGTCACGCAGAAGAATGAGGAGAACCAGAACTATCTGCTCAAGTATGATGATGGGGTGCTTGTCAGCACTCTCTCCAATCTGTATTATCTATGTGGACAGGAGATCACGATATATCCTATTGTTGATATCAGCGATAAGACGAGCACTGGGGCTGTCATCAGGGAGTGCATCATTGCTATTCTTAATGTGCTCATCAATTTGACTCATCGGTTTAATCGGCAGTGTAAGAAGTCCTTTGGATTTTTAGGTTATTTATTTTAATGCTCTTTAGTTCAGTAGCGAAGTGGTCAAACAGTTTAAGTTTGGCACTTGCTTCTACAAGAGTGAGAGGATAAAGCCATTAGGATTAGAAGATGAAGAAACGGTTTAAGTCGATTTTGGATATTGGGCAGTTTTCAATGGATATCTCGAAATTTAAGGGAGATGACATTTTTCTCATAACCTTTTTAGTAGCACTCAATTCGCTTTAAAAAAAAAGGTTATTATGAAAGTTTTGCTATCTCCATTAAATTCGAAAATATTTCTGGAAAACTCAACTAACGACTAAATTGACCTAAAGTGTTTGACCACTTCGCTACTGATTTATGCTCTAAGGGCAACACTGAAGTCATGGGGATAATTTTTAGATTTTAAATGACATGATTGTCCCCAACTTCAAAGTAAAAAGTTTTTCTTTATTTATCTATAATTTATATGTAATAATTTTATTTATAATTATTAGTTGGTAATCGAAATTGAGGACAAGTTCATTAACAGTAAATTAGCGAAATTGTGGTAATATCAGTGGCACTTGAAATATTTAATCATATTTAGTAATTCTTGCATTCTATTGTTTTGTACTCGTTAAATTCATTTGCTTTTGTTAATATATATGGGGTATT